TAGGGACAAAGCACCACATTCATGAACAGGTGATAATAGGATGCAAATGAGTCATGTCTTCCATGTAAAAGAGAAGTAATGGTAAAATTCACAGCTCTCCTTCACTTTGTGTGTTTGTGCTGTGTGCAAAGCACAGAGCTAAGAAATTTATCTCATTTAATCCTTAAAACTGTTCAGTAAATTTGGAACTATTTTTTGTTTCTTTCTTTTTTCTTTTCTTTATTTTTTGCTGGGGGTGGGGGAATCTTAACCATACATCACAATGCTTAGGGCTGTTCCTGGCTCTGTGACTCCTGGCAGTGTTCAGGGGGACCATATGTGGTGCCAGGGATTGAACCAGGATCTGCTACATGCAAGGCAAGCGCCTTATCTCCAATGCTTTCTCTCTGGCCCCCTTTTTAAATGAAAAATTGAGATTCAGGGAAGTGAAATTGTCCTGAGTCCTACAACAAATGATAGTAGATCCAGAATAGTAATATTAATTAATTGGTAAACTATAGTTTGCCAATCAGATAAACCCAACCCTATGAAAATGAGGTAAAAAAGGTAAAGGCCCTCCCGTTGATCGTCGATTTGCTCGAGCGGGCCCAGTAACGTCTCCATTGGAGACTTTGTTGTTACTGTGTCTGGCATATCGAATACTCGGTAGCTTGCCGGGCTCTCCGAGAGGGGCAGAGGAATCGAACTCGGGTCGGCCATGTTGGCCGCTTGTAAGGCGAACGCCCTACCGCTGTGCTATCACATCAAAGTTAAAATGTAGGGTTTTAGGATTGATTCTCCCTTTGGAAAAAGTAAAACTGTCTTTAGCAGGTGATCTTTTTCATCCCATTCCTTAATATTATCAGACAATTAGAAGTACATGATAAGTCACCATCCTTTTATAGGTGAATTTCCTTTGCCCTATCTTCAGCTACCTCCCAAGGGGACATTATTTGTGGGTCTGCACATTAACTCTTGTCCATATCCAGCTGCCTCTCTGTAAGTAAGAGTTGTAGATGGTCATGGAAGAATGAAGGGAATGAGGAATGAGATCTTCTAAGGAATCCTTAGTTATATAAAGCTAGTAATTTCTAATCTATTCAGGAAAGCACTTTTGTTTGGTGGTTTTGTATTTAACAATGGAACAATATTGGTTCCAACTCAGGGCAATTGGCTTTTGCTCTCTGCCTCAGTTCCCACATCTGCTAGCTCAGTAGGAAGCACTGACAAGAATTAATTGCTTTTCCTGAGCCTTCAGGTTCAGTTCTGCTTCTCAGTTCCAACAATCCCACAGGGCTCAGCTCTTGCATAATTTCTTGCCTAGAAGAGCTTTCTGTTTTCAACAGTTCTCTCTGATGGGCATAAATGTATATACATTTTCAAATTCAGAAAGTTAGAACCTTAAGAATATTTGAGTTATTTGGTCTAATTTTCGAAAATAAACTCATTCACTTTCAAAGATTTTTGGCCTTTATGAAGGCTTTGCCATGGTCCTGCCTTAAAAGTGAAAGTAGACTAGAGACCAAACATGATGGCCACTTACTTCCTGTATTGTAAACCATAACATCCAAAAGGAGAGAGTAAAATGGAATGTGCCTACCACAGAGGTAGGGGGGAAGGGAAGGGTGTGGCAGGAGGAATACTGGGAACACTGGTGGTGAAGAATGAGCATTGGTGGAGGGATGGGTTCTCAATCATTGTGTGACTGAAGCGTAATCATGAAAGTTTGTAAGTTTGTAACTGTATCTCATGGTGATTCATTAAAAAATATTTTTATATGCAAATACTTTTGTTCCTCTTCCTCTTGGGGGAAAGTAGTATTCCCAGTCTCCTGATGGACTCCTAGTGCAAGACAGAGTGAGTAGGATATAAATTGCAGGGGTGAGTTTTATCCCAATTGTTGAGTCTATAATCTTTCACATATGTAAGATTATTAGAATATAATAGAATATTAGAAATCATCAAGATTATATTCCCTTAGTTATTACCAGACACCAGGAAACCCTTATTCTCTGAGGCTTCAACTTAGGATAACATTATATTGATTCTGCTTTACAGATAAGAAGGAAATAAAGTAAGTTATAGCTGACTATAACAAATCGATCAATACCAAAATCAGAGAAAGTTGTCTGCTATCCTATTTGCACATCCCTCCAGGAGTCCTCTGGAGCTCCTGCAATAGAAGACTTGAGTTTCAGTGAGTTGTTGTCTCATCCTATTTCAAACTTCTCTTTCAGTGTCCACCTGAGACAAAACACTTATTTCTGATATGCAACTGATTTTCATTATTGGAAAACTTGAGTTCTAGGCTGCTCGTTCCTATGATAAATTAAAAACCATCCTCTTTGTAATTTGCATCTATCAGTCCTAGTTTGTTCTCAGTAACTGCATAGAATAGGTTATTCTCATTGTTTGACTGGTCAGTCTGTTCATTTATGCACTTTGTACTGGATACCTTCTGGTGTGATACGGTGTTCAAGACATACATCTCACACTGCAGGAGCTGAGAGGCTCATCGAAGATAACATGGGTACACAGATGTCTGATGACATACATGCCGTGTGTAAGAAGAAGGAGAGAGAATAATTGGAAGGATTCGGGTTGTGACAGGTAAAAGGTAGCATTTAAAACTGCTCATCTTTAATACCTTAAGGTTAAAAGGGAGATATATATATATATATATATATATATATATATATATATATATATATGTTGGAAGGAAAGTGTTGGAGAAGCTATGGGCAGATTATTTGACCAGAGCTCAGAGTCTAAAGCGTGAAAGATCAGGTTGTAAATGCCAGGGGATTGAGTGTGAGATTGTGAAGGACTGTAGTGAAGGGAGAGAAGAACAGAGGGACAGGCTTTGAGGACTTGTGTCACGTCATCTCAAATGCCAGACTGTAGCCTTTAAAGATTATCCAGCGAAGACTTAAAGGGAGAGATTTGTATATGGAAGTTGGAAGGTCAAAATGTTGGAGAAGCTATGGGCAGATTATATGAACCAGAGCCTGGGGCCAATGGTGGAGATGATGACAACTGTACTTAGTGTGACAACTGGTAGTAGGAGATAGTGGGCTGGAGGGATGTGCAATATATGGGTTTGACAAAGAGGACCAGGAGTCCTCTGGACCTCCTGCAATAAAAGACTTGAGTTTGAGTGAGTTGATGATAAATTTGATGTATACCCCCAGGAAACGACCTACTGCATAGTCCAGAAAACCATCTCTAGTATATGTCAAGAGATCTTCCTCTCCTGAGGGTTTGGGCAATCCCTTTCTTACCGTCTGGTGAACAATAACTGTTTGGGGGCCATAACCATAGGGGGTTAGGGCTTACCTCGATCTGTGCTCAGAGATAACTCCTAGAAGTGCTCAAGAGAATCTAACTAGGGTTGACTGTGTACATCACTAAGTGTATTATCTTTCCTGACACGCACATTCATTTAACATTTGGAAATGGTTCCAATAATTGTGATAGAGTACACCAGGATCCAGATGTCCATGGTAAAATATCTCAGCACTGATTTTCCTGTATCCTGGAAGGTGCACATGAAGGTGGATCCCATATATTTGAAAGGAACTTTAAAAATTGTTAGGACAAATGTGTGTGTGCAAATATTGATTTAAATTTATTTTTTTTTCTGTCTCTGTTGTATGATGGGTAGCACACAGGGCTTCTAAATATAGTCTGTTTCTTTGGTGATCTCTTTACAGTAGGCAATAAAGCCATCACTATTGCTAGTATTTTTGCCTTTTGTTAAATTGAGACTTTTTGGGTATAACTGATAAAGACAAATGCAAAGGAAATACAAGTAGAAGTCTAGCACAATTGTATAGATGCAACTGGAGAGCTGATACAGGTGATAAGGCCTTGCAATGTAACCAACTCTGGTTCCATGCCTGCACAGCATATGGTCTTCTGAGCACCACCAGATGTGGCCAAAAGCCCCCATCTCCCCAAATCCAAAAATGAAAACCAGAAATTATTTTTTTTGTTGTTTTTGTCATCTCGTTCAGTTTTATCTATAGAGAGGAAATGCTTGCACAAATCGTAAGAGGTTCTTTTTTAAGCCCGATTTCCTTTTATTTATTTTAACCCTGTTGATGCTAGTACCTAGTTGCTCGATGACTTTTTATGGGAAGTCCATCATTACGTGAGGCAAGTGTGGGGAGGAGGAAGTTCTCCGTCTCTAAAAATGCCTCTTCCTGCATTTCTGACCATGTTGGGCACGTCACCATCTGAGGTTTAATCTTCGTTCTAGACCATTCCAGCTATATTTTTCTTTATTGTCCCCTCCAAGGTTTTAAAAAAATTGTGGACTTTTAAAGAAGGATGAAAAATGTTCATTTTCCCACAATCTATGACACAATAAATTTACATCTTTTATTTTTTCATATTCAGTAGCAATTTTATTTTTTTTAATTTTTAAATTTTATTTTCATAAGGTTGTTCACATTGATTACATTCAGTATTTCAACATGAGTCCCACCACCATTATTTCAGATTTTCCCATCACCATTCAAGCCTGCCTGCCATTGGCAGTTGCTAGAGAGTTTATTTTTCTGTTGCTTATTATGAATATCATGAGAGGTTGTGTGGTCACAAAAGTAGCCGCATGCTCCTGGAATTCTAAAATTGTATAAATTTATATCTTTTAAATAAATTAAAATAATTACTCTCCATACAGCTAGGACTTTTTAACAGTAAAACCAAGAAAAAAACTAAAATGTAAAACCCTCACCCCTCAAGTCCGAGCTTCTGCCCCAAAGTAGCCTCAGGTAAAATATATTATGTTGCTTTCAGAAAAGTTGTTCAAGTCTACACCAGTATTCTGTCTACCTATCAATCTACCTATCATTTATTTATTATCATTCTGTTATTCCACATCCATCATCATGTTATCTAGCTCCTATAAAATTGACATAAAAAGATATTATGTAAACAGCCCTGTAATTCTTTTTCTTTTTTATTTCTCTATATATGGAACTACTTTTTTCTCTTTTATAAGAATCTGTCATTAGATGCATCTACTTGACAGACCTGCAGCAGTTGCTTGTCTGCTGCCAAGATTTCCTTTCAGCTGCAGGAGAAAAGCATCCTTGAACTTTCTGTCTGCCTGGTGGTGGCAGTCCAGAATGACCTGGACTACAGGAAAGAAACAAAAATGTGTGCATCTCACAAACTGTAAGCAGTGAGAACCTGACTTGCTTCACAAAGGAATTAAAATATCAGAAAAATTAGAAGCAAATTAAAAAGAAAAAAAGCTTGCTCTTTAAGTTGGGAACAAGCATCTTTCTGCTTGTTTCTATATCTCTTTGCTTTTTTTAAAAAAAATTTTTAAATTTTTTATTTATTGAATCACTGTGAGAACAATCACAAAGCCTTTCAGTTTAGTCTCGGTTGGTCATACAATGATCAAACACCCGTCCCTTCACCAGTGCACATGTTCTACCACCAAGAACGCTAGTAAAACCCCCACCCACCCACCCCACCACCTGTGTGGCAAATTTCCACTTTTCTCTCTCTACGTTGATCACATTCAATATTATGACAAAAGACCCAACATTATTATTGGGAATTTTCCCCAACATCCAGACCTGCCAAAATGACATAATTAGATAATTTGTTTTCTATTGCTGATTATGAAGAACATTTGGTGTCGTGTGGCTGCAATAGTGGCCATGCAAATTTGGATTTCTGATATTTTAGTAATAAGTCTAGAGTGATTACTGCCAAAAGCCCCTGGGTTCTGAGATTGGTTTGTGTGCCTCTAGGATCATGGTCGTTCAGGAGCTGGAGGAGGCATTTGAGGGTGGCAACTCAGGGCATTGTCATGGTGGGGAGCAGAGCCGATTCCACCCCCATCTCACAAGCTCCCACATGCCTCGTCAATGCAATCTCATACCTTGTTGTTCATTAGGCTCTAAAAGATGGAGGCCACCATGCTGCCACTGCAGGAGAGGTGGAGTGACAGGCACCCTTCCCCTCCCAGGGCGGCATAACACCAAAGTTAAATGGACAGTCCAGATACATTTTGATTGGGCATTATATTTCGCTCAGATTTTCCCAGGACCATTCAAGCCTATCTTTCAGGGACAAATGCTAGATCATTTACTTTCCATTGATCACTTTGCGCGGCCACGTGGTTCAGAAAATAGTCCTAGTACCTGCATACGGGAGCCATGCTTGTAGAAGCTCATGGTAGCCGGGATTCCATATGGAGAAAGCGGGGAGATAGCACCTACCCCACCTGGGACATCCTGGTGATATTGGTTCAGTATGGTGTCTGGAGAATTCTCCGGGAGTTGTGGGGCCTGCTGGCCAGTTTTCTTTGCTGCTGTGTGCTGTAAGATGGTGCTGGGGGTGGGTTGTAGGCTTCCAGGGATCAGAAGCTGCCTGGGAACTGGGGTGGAACTACTCGGCCTGGGGTCCCCATGCAGTTCGGAAAATAGTCCTGGTACCCGCATACCAGAGCCATGCTTGTAGAAGCTCATGGTCGCTGGGATTCCATCTAGAGAAGGCGAAACCAGAAATTATTTGAACTGGCTTGTTATTTTCAAAATTAGGCTGCTTGTTGAATGAAGTGAATGTCCCTAGCAATTTGAGGAAAGTTTTTAGTCTTCATTCTCATGCAATCCAGGAGGAACTAAGCTTGAGCTTAATTCTAAGTTTCATAATTATTTCCTTTTATTTGGCAATTTTTTTATTGATTACTTATTATATGCCTGGTCCTGTTCTAGGTGTTGGACTATAGTAGTGAATTGAAATAGTTGAAATTTCTTGTCCTCATGAAATTTAAGTAGAAAGCTTGTAAGTCTATAACTGTACCTCACCTTGATTCATTAAAAAAAAAATAATTGTATCATTGTATCATTATCATCCCATTGTTTGATTTACTTGAGTGGGTGCTGCTAATATCTCTATTCCTCCCAGCCCTGAGATTTTAGCAGCCCCTTCTTACTTGTCTTTTCCCAACAATTGGAGGCTCTATCAGGGTCAGGGGTATGAGACTTGTTGTCGTTACTGGTTTTGGCATATCGAATACACCACGGGGAGCTTGCCAGGCTCTGCCTGTGTGGGCAGGATTCTCTGGGTAGCTTGCTGGGCTCTCCGAGAAGCATATATTTATGTATTTCTCTCTATGATTTGTTGCCTACTGAATGAACCCCATCAAATATGGTGTAGTAATTATGGAAAATGCATACGAAGTGTCTTGTAATGAGTAGGAAGTGTTATAATGTATCACCTCATGGCCGCGTGGTCCAAAAAGTGGCCTGGAGTGTGGTGGCAGTTCGGTAGTGGAGGTCAGCTGCCAGGACTGGGTCCCTTGGGGAGGGGAGGGCTCACCCGTCCCATTCTGGGGCACCATGAGTGAAGACAGTCTGTGAAAAAAATAAAAGAAATTTACCTAGAAAGGGAAGATACAGCAGGTGAGAAAAAAAAGGTAGTAAGTGAGAGAAACAGAAACAGTGACAGGGAAGATTGGAGGGTGGGAGGGACTATGATTGGCTAGAAATAAGGTGGGACATCAGGATGGACATAGTTGGAGATAGAGTGGTTAGGATTCTTAGAGCAAAGGTGTAGAGTGACCATTTGTAAGGGAGGGGTTAGATTGTGGGAGCAGCCTTTCCAGGAATGAAGCTAGCTTGTGTGGAGATAGGGAGGCAAGGGATGCTTTCCTCTTAGATGGAAAATTGCTAGTGCCTGAAAGGAAGTTGGGAACCAGGACAAAAACAGATGTAAGTTCATTTGTAATTACTTGGACTAAAATTTTTCTTTTTTCAGAAAACAACTTTACAAACTAGTTAAAGGAGGAACAAAAGTTTTACTGACTTTGAGGTTGCCTGAGTTTGAGTCTTAATTCTGCCACTTTCTGCCTGTGAGAACTTAGGTGAATTATTTGACTTCTCTGTGCCTTAGTTTCCTCACCTGTACAATGAGACTAATGTTACCACTGATCTTATAAGCTTATTTTAGTGTTTCAATAAGTTAATATTAATAAAACTTGGAACTAAATTTGACAAATAGCAAGTTCTCAAGTATTATTATATAATTTCTTCTACTTTTATAATTTTGTGAGTTGCTGTCCTAATCCCCAGTGGTTCTTGAGGACTATCTCAAAGGTTATGTGTGGATGTGTGTGTTGAAAGTGTGGGCTTAATATATATATATATATATATATAATAGTTGTAAGAATTGAATAAAATCCTGCTGCTTAGATATCAAGGCCTCAGTACACATTAGTTTTCATCCCTTCTTGTAGCAGAGGAAAAAGAGGTTTTATTATTATTATTATTATTATTATTATATTATTATTGTTATTACTATTTTCTTTTCAACTGGCTTATGAGTAGAATAAAGAACAGGTGAGTCTATAGACTTGAACTTGAAAATTTCTTTTGCCTGAGCCTCACCATGGAACTAAGAAATCCCTGAGCAGTGCATAGTTCTTATTTTGAATAGTGGGTAAAGAAGACATAGAAGAGCATGAATAAGGAGGGAAATAGAATGAAGGGGAAAACTGAAGAAATTAAGAAGTATGCTATTAGGTTACATGCTTTGAGGATGAGGTCATCAGAAAGAAAACTAGCAAGAGTCCCTTTCTCTGATCCTGTAAAACATGAAGGTACCTCAGCAGCAGACTCCTTGCCTTGCATATTTTGGTCCCTGGGACCATCATAAAAGAATACAAATAAAATTAATAGCTGAAATGTGAAGGGACAGATAGCATCACTGCAGATGAAACAGGGATCCCTGAATGGGGCAGCAGTCCCCGGGGGTTCTTCCAAAACACCCCTCTCCCCTGTGACGTGTCCTAACACCAATTAGCCTGAATTAGCCTGTATTTCTGCCTCTACTTCGGGAGTCATTGCTAACCAGGAAGGCAACAGAATAGGAGCAGTCACTGTGTCCTGAAGATACTGAAAATCAGCTTTCTAGTTGAGTGTAGGGTTTGCCCTGAGTGTGGCTGCCTACATGAGCTTCTGGGGTCTGCTTCCAGGTGATTTCCAGTGTGATAGACTCAGGGAAACAAGGGAAAGGAGTGTTTTCAAGGGTCCAAAGGAACCCAGGGAACATGGGCTCTGGAGAAGAAAGGGTGCTGTGGGGTTGGCAATAGGGCACTGAAGCCAGGTGCCACTCACTGTCTGATGCTGCTTTGATTCGTAGGTGCACCAGATGTTTCCATGAATCGAACCTTTTCAGCCGAGCCAAAAGACGAGGATGGAGCATGCTACACGTCTCTGATTTCTGATGTCCGTTGCCCACCTCAGGAGGATTCCACGTATTTCACTGGCATTCTTCAGAAGGAAAATGGCCACATCACCACATCAGAGAGCCCTGAGGAGTTGAGCCCCCCGGGGCCCCCTTTCCCAGATGTGCCTGGGACGGAGCCTCCTGGTTTATTTAGTTCTGATTCTGGAATAGAGATGACTCCTGCAGAATCCACCGAGGTGAACAAGATCTTAGCAGACCCCCTAGACCAGATGAAAGCAGATGCCTATAAGTACATTGACATAGCCAGACCAGAGGAGGGGAAATGCCAGGAGCAGCATCCCCCCAAGCTGGAAGAGGAAAACTTGGACTTTAAGAATGAGGACCCTGAAATCTCAACAAAGTCCAAAGAGGTCCGTGAGCCTGAGAAGCCTGCACCTGTGGAGGGAAAAATCCTCAAGGACCATTTATTTGAAGAGTCCACTTTTGCCCCTTACATAGATGATCTCTCAGAAGAGCAGCACAGTGCTTCTCTGGTCACTGCCCCCGTCAAAATCACACTGACTGAGATCGATCCTGCCATTGAAATGGCTTCCCAAGAGCAGAGCCCTGAAAAGCAAGAGATCTGCCTGAAACCAAGCCCTGACACAGTCCCCACTGTCACTGTCTCAGAGCCTGAAGATGACAGCCCAGGATCTGTCACTCCTCCATCTTCTGGGACAGGTAAGGGGACAGTATTCTCTGTCTGAGGAAAATCCAGGAGAAAGCCAACAAAAAGAGAATAGAAATACATTACCATAGGGCCTTCTTCTGTCCCCATTGAACTGATTTAACATACAGCCTTTTCTGTTTTGTGCCCATTGTACAAAGGCAGATCATCAGAATTTTTCTTAGTGTTCTCTCACGTTTGCTTTCTGAAGTTATTCATTCTTTTAATTTG